AAAAAAAAAAAAAAAAAGACGGCACAAGATACAATGCTAATCCATAGAAAGAAATACTGACAGAGAAAAGAACAGGAAAGGCTGGCACCTAACAACATAGTCTTCAGTGGGGAAAGGCAGTTTCCTGTCTTCCTCCCACTTTCCTGGATGAGGGCAAAAGGGGAAAAATAGAGAACTAGCAGCAAATAAGACCACTCCTGTCATAACACCTACTGTCACTCCCAGGATACCACCATAAATTCTTTAAAATACCTCAGCAAATGGATGATTGTAGGTCTGGGGCAGGGAAAGCACAAATGCGCCTGGGGCATCTTTTGTGCCAGAAGGCAATGTGGTGCGCAAATACTAATCGGCTTGGGTCAAAAGAACAGTGAAGCCAACTGAATAGATTCCCACTGACCAAGATTGGCAGTTTAAGCTTCAAAAAGAAACTATTTTAAAAAGGAAATCTTGATATGTGACTATAAAACACTGAATAAATAAAAATCAAAGAGTAGTATTTTTTTCTTTTTTTAGAGAGAGAAAATGAGCATGTGAGCAGGGGAGAGGGGCAAAGGGAGAGAGGGAAAGAGACTCTTAAGCAGACTCCACGCTCAGTGCGGAGCCCGACACGGGGCTCAATCCCAAAGCCCTGGGATCATGACCTGAGCTGAATCAAGGGTTGGTCAGTCAACAGACTGAGCCACCCAGGTGCCCTCCAAGAGTAATATTAAAAACCAAAAACACAACTGTCCTAAGCAAACAAAAAAGATTTACAGTTGTCACCACTGAAGGCAACTTTAGACCAACTGCTTATTTTGAAAATCAGTAAAGGAAAACCTTTTCCTTAGAGAAGAAACACGATGGCTAAAACAAATGGTTTTAAAAAGTGTGCAAATATTAAAGTAAATATAGCAAAGTACTAATTACTGAATCTAAGTGGTAGGTACATGGATGTTTACTGTACCAACTCTTGCCTGTATGTTTAAAATTTTTAATAATAAAAAGCTAGTAAAAAGGTGCCTGGGTGGCTCAGTCAGTTAAGTGTCTGACTCTTGATTTTGGCACAGGTCATGATCTCAAGTTGGGGAGACTGAGCCCTGCGTTAGGCTCTATGCTGACAGTGTGGGGATTCTCTCTCTCTCACCCCCTGCCCCTTCCCTCATGCACACGCTCTCTCAAAATAAACATTAAAAAAAAAAAAGCTAGAAAAAAAGCCTCCTGGCCTTTGAGAAAAAAATCACATTACTTTATAAAAATGATACACTAATTCCCTATAGCACATTTTCTTCTTTTCAGTGTCTTTATAAGATAACAGCAATAATGTAGAAGTGAAATCCTGATAGCATACTTTGTGTTTTCAAAAGCGTATGTGAGAATTTAAATGTATGCACTATATTGATTTCAAACTAAGGACTCCTCATTAAGGTTTTCAGTTTATAAATTAAAATTTATGTATTTTAAGTATGCACAGTCCCTAAGTATTTTTATGAATATATATCAGGATCTGATATAGTACCTTTAACACACAGATGAATACATACAGCCTCAGAAATTTGGATCCATTATAACCTGTTTAGAATTTACATGAGCAAATAAGAGGTTATATTCCATATTTAAAATCACTGCTATCTTGAATTAGTTTAGTAAAAAGTGTATATACATACTTGATATCTTCTGAGTGAAGGTAAATGTTACTACATGCTCTTCTGTGACACTGTCCAAATGCTGTTTTTCTTCCTGAAGTGCCATTCCAATTAAATGTAACACCTCAAATAAAATATTTTGTAACTTTTAGTAAATCAAAAACCAAGTACATATGTTTGTAAGAAATAACAAAAATGTTCATGATTGAGAAAAGATAAAGCAAACCACTGAAGACCAAGTGCAGTAAAAAACAGGCTGAAGTACTAATTTTTATTAAATTCAAACTCTGACCAACCATTCATATAATATGTACTTTTCAGTTTTATGCTATCCCTATACTATGGTCTTAAAAAAATCTTCAAAGAAATCTCAGTGGCCAAATAATTAGAGCTGAAAGCATCTATCATGTAATGAGCTAGTCTACAATACTCTCTAGTTAAATTTCTCTAAGGACTAAAAATCTTAATCATCTCAGAAAGACAGATACTTTTATTTCTAATGCCACGTAACTTATAATGATGTTTACAGTTCTTCTTTATATCTCGCAAAAAATTCCTTACCAGGCTTCTAAGAAAATATAAAATTACACTGAGTCTATTTGCATTTTTACTGCTCTTATCCTGCTCCTCAATTTTTGAAGGAGATGTATGTATGGCGTCTGTACGTTTCCCCACACAAAGAGCTATTGTGGCTGTTGGAGACTTGGATGAATTAGGTTAGCTTGAATGACACAAAGCAAATGTACACAAAAGGTAAATAGCCTTCACTCTTTTTTTTTCTCCATCATTTCCGACAAATCTTTTGCTCAGATAATACTGATGGTCTCTAGTAGACCATAGCTTTGTGCTTTTACGTTTTAAGCATATTTATAAATGGGAGGGGGGTATAAGTATACACACATCTTAGCCAATGAGATACTTGAGGCTGCTGAGACAATGGAAAGAAAAGTAGCTTTGGAAGAAGGCTCTGGAAGAATGCTCACTTTCATTTGTATCCTGGCTTCACTGCTTTCAAGCTACATGGCTTCAGGGAATCCCTCTGAGCCTAATTTCATCATCTTTAAAATGGAAAAAACCAGTTTCCCTTTAGAGTTCTGAAGATTGCAAATATTGTACGTAAAAGTACTTAGCACAGAATAAGGTACAGAGTAGGCTAAGTCTATTAACTGAATAATTACTATTATGTTATTTACTAATTGAGTAACACACACAAGCTGACTGAATCTCACTGAAAACTGACTTGCTCATCTACATAATGGAAAAAGTTGTATCTACCCAAAAGGGATGTTGTGTGAATTCAATAAATAAATAATTCAAGAATGAGTTACATCAAAGCTATAAAGTAAAATACCAACAAGGTTCTAGACATGTCACTTACTAGCTATAAGATCATTAGTCTGTGAGTTTCAATTTCTTCAACTGCAAAATACAGATACTGATGAACCCACGGGGGTTTTGAGGGAATTAAATAAAAAACACAGGTCAAAGATAAGACATTATACAAACGTCAGAGTACTGCATAAACAAAGACATATCACCAACAATCAATGAGAAGCAGATAGGCCAACAAGAAAAGGGAACCACAACCATGTGGTATAAAAACATATCTGCCTGGCTATCATTTTCGCTGTCAGACACAAAAAAACAGTAATAATATTACTATATTTCAAATTAAGGTAACATGGCATTTTGTGCTAAATTGTCTGTATATAGATATGGACAAGAATATTCTGGCTTTTACCAAAAATGCGCAGAAATATAAATAATAAATGTCTTCAAACCTACCCTTTGCAGCATGGACTCAGACCAGGCATATCCATTGTGTTCTACAGCCCATTGCAGTATTGTCCTCATGATGCACAACATCACGTCTGACTGCAAAATGTTTACCAGACTTGCAAACAGAGGGCAAAATGGAGGCAGAACTGGAGGTGGAAGTGCTGCACAAATAAAGTTATTATTGGTTTCTTTGTAGAACATGCTTAAAAAAAAACAAAAACAAAAACAAACAAACCTATCCCTGTATTAGATACTTTTGATAGGTCTTCACTCAAAGAATATCCACTAATACACATGTTAAAACTGTATTTTACCTTCTCAAGGTCAAATGCATAAAAACAGCTACATAAATAGAAGCAGTACAGAGGAAAGCTTTGTTTTCCCTAGAAATGTCTTAGGATCTGAGACAAAATCAGTAACCCAAAGGTGACTCAGTACTAATTATTCCTATATTTGCATATTTATTAGCCTTGAATGTTCCCTCGGAAAGCATATATTTAAATCTTTCACTTCATCAAGGATAATCATTATAGTGGATAGAAAACGTTTAACAAGAAGAGACTGACAAGAGAGTTTTAGAAAGATTAAAAGTACCTGTATCTTCCCTATTTTGTCGTTTCAATTTCCGTTGAGCTTCCTCTGCCTAATAAGAAAGGAAGACATTTGGACAGGGAATTAGCAATGCACAGCTACCTAAAACCCAAAACTACTAAGTTAGTCTTTGTCATATCATCTTCTGATTTCATTTTACTTATTTATTTACTTTATTATTTTTTTTGTTGGAGGGGCTGGGGAGAGAGGTGGAGGCGGAAAACCGAGGATCTGAAGCAGGCTCCATGCTAACAGCAGAGAGCCCAATGATGGGCTCGAACTCATGAACCATGAGATCATGATCTGAGCCGAAGTCAGATGCTTAACTGACTAAGCCATCCAGGTGCCTCTCATCTTCTGATTTTAGAAGAGATTTACCCTTAGTTTTATATATAGTCCCCCCTCCCCACACCGACACATCAAGGTTATTTTTTTCCCCACTAACCACCCCCCCACCCCCCAAACCCCAAGGAGTTCTTTCTTATTTTAAAAAGCAGGGGAAACATATACAAACCAAAACCAAAAAAGTTATTTGGGTCTCAGTTCTGCAACATGCATCTAAAACTAAACAAAAGCTTCATGTTCAAGTTTAATTAACGCCATCTACTGAAAAAGTATTTTAAGAGTAGACTGCTAAAAGACAAAATTTGACTAAGACTCATGAGGAAAATTCCATAAATTTCTATGGGAAAACATGTTAAGTAGTAGCAATTCTGAAATGAACATAAAATGGCTTAACTGACTATTACATAGGTTGACAATCTGTCTTCAAAAGCCAGTAAAATACAATTACATACGTGTGGTTATGTATATTATTATATAGAACTTATGTATGTAGCAAACATGGGGAGGGGGAACCCAAAATGTTAGGAAGTGATATTTTAGGTAATCTATACTTTCCTTCATTATACTTCTTATATTTTTCAAATTTCCTATAATAAAAATGTATCCTTTTTCAATCTCTGAAAAGCAGTAAAAGTTGTTTAGGAAAAACAAAGAAACACAGCTCTTCCTCAGTACACTTTTAATTTTCCCAATTACCTTGGACTGCTCTGCCCTTGAAAAGTGATAGAAATACAAATTGAACTCTTTGGCGCACTCTGGTTTCAGTTCGTACATGCCTCGTCCTGTTAATCCAGGTTTTCTATGGAAAAAAAGTCCTTAAAATATTATTACTAAAGTCATACACTAATTTATGAGACAAGCTTAGATAACAGAATAAAAAATCAAAGCTCTCATTTACTTCTGGTGGATGTAAGCTGTTACTATTTTCTATGGGTTAATTTGGCAATCTACAGCAAAGCTCTATGTACATCATTTTGCCTGACACATCCACTTTGAATTAATCCTAACTGGACAGGTGAATGCGATGGTCATTGTAGTGACAATTCAAAGTCTAACTATAGGGAATAGGTTACGCACATTACGACACCTCTAAACAGTTGAACATCACTAAAAGTAATAATAATTTTTAAATTTTGACATACAAAGATATCTCTGATAAGTTCTACTTATCAGAGTAGAAGTGGAAAAAAGTAGGTACAATTTTAAGGTTTAGAGAATCTTTTATATATATATATGCACCTTTTATATATATTATATATATATTTCTGTATTTCTCTAAAAGCAAGTGTTGTATCATTTAATTTAATTTAATTTAATTTAATTTAAGTCTTCACACCCAGTGCAGAGCCCAATGCAGGGCTTGAACTCATGACCCCAAGATCAAGACCTGAGCTGAGATCAAGAGTCAATGTTTAACTGGCTGAGCCACCCAGATGTCCCTATATATTGTATCTTTATAATCAACAAAAATAAAGACATTACTGTTGGGGTGGGAGCAAGGAAAAAGCAGCATTGAGAAGCTGTCTCAACAACCTTAGTGGGGATAAACTGGTTTACTGACTGGGCAAGCACTGGAAGAGTGAAGGCAGTATTCAAAGGCCATCCCATAACTTAAGAGGCGCATTCAAATGAAAACGAAGAAAGCAGTTTTAAGAAAGCTCAATGCACTGCCTTAGGTCATCTGTTCAGTTTAATGTCAATTATCTGAAACTATCAGCTATGAACACTGGTTCTGAGCACAGTAAACATTCTCATAAATCAATTTTAGTTACTGAGTGAAGAGCTAGATCAGAAGAGTGAAAGGACAGTGAGAAATCTAGTTCAGAAATTTGTATCTGAAAAGGCTGTCACTCTCTGAAGGCAACAATTTCATTCTCAGTTCCATCAAAGGAAACACCAAGAAAAATTAATACATTAAAAACAACTGAACGGGAAACAACAGGAAGTAAACTCACTTGAAATGCGCAACTGCTTCAATTACGCTCTCCATGCCAGTCTCCTTGTTCTCCTAACAGTATGAGAAACAAGTGTGTTTCATGTTAATTGTGTATCTGCTAGCACTTTAAACATTGTGCTTTTCTCTCTCTTTTTTAACTTTTATTTTTGACAGAGAGTGAGACAGAACGTGAGCAACGAGGGGCAGAGAGAGAGAGGGAGACACAGAAGCAGGGTCCAGGCTCTGAGCTGTCAGCACAGAGTCCAACGCAGGGCTCAAACCCACAAACCATGAGATCATGACCTGAGCTGAAGCTGGATGCTTAACCCACTGAGCCACCCAAGTGCCCCTGTGCTTTTCTCTTCTTAAGCCCTACACAGCAACTCTATGAAGCGGCTATACTATTATCCCAGTTTTTATAGCCGAGGATTCCATAGTAAACATAATTATTAATATATAACGAGGGAAACTTAGTTGATAAGCTAACATTCATTCAGACTCATACAGTTAAAACTAAGTCACTATCCTACGGTTTCAAGGTGACAGCTTTCAAAAGGAATTAACTTAAAAGCACAAAGTACACATAACATTTAAAATTTACGTAAGATATTTAGCATTTCGTGAAGGTTACACTAATTTCTTATCTATTTTTGGTAAAACAGCATTTCTGAAATCATATCCTATTCATAACAAGATGTTAATAGGAATTCTAATTAAAGAATTCTCTGGTCAAAAATGTTTGGCAAATATAGTTGCCATTACTTTGTACAAGATGTATTTTAAAATGCTGTTTTAAATTGTATTCTTCTTTATTCTAAAGTCGAAGTGAAACTGTAATCGCTTTCTCATCTAGCAACTCAGGATTCGTTTCCTGTATTAAAAAAGCACAAGTAATTTTTATCCTGACTAGATATCTAGTGGTATTAAGAAATTATTAATTATTGTTCTTTTAGGTGTGATCGTGGCATACGGATAGACAAGTTTTCCTAAAAGTCCTTTTGGACCAGTTTCTCCATGTTGGCCCTGCTGACATCTAGAGCAGACAATTCTTTGCTGTGGGGGTTCTGTCCTGTGCATTACAGGATATTCAGCTGCACCTCTGGCCTCTGCTCACTGGATACCAGGAGCACCATATGACCCTGCCCTGAGTGGTGATCTGGCCAAATGTCTCGTGGGGGCAAAGTTGTCCCTGGCCGAGAACCATTGTTTTACACACATACAATTCTAGTTATAGATGAAATGGTAAACCTGGTATTCTGGGCTTTTTGTTTGTTTGTTTTGTTTTGGTTAGAACAGCTCAGCAAAATAAAATTCTGGATTACTGTTGTACAACAGTACACCTACATCAAACAGGCCAAAAAAATAAATAAAACAGCACAGACAAAAAGGAAAAAAAATGAAATCTTTTACCTTTGGCCCTTTTAACCATCTCATACAAACCAACTACTTATAGTACAGCTAAGTACATACATAAAAAAAGTTACTGGAATGCTCGGAATTAAGACTGTTTGTTGTTGTTGTTTCTGTTTGTTTTTTTTTTTTCAAAGTTTTTTTTTTCTCCTTTGAAATTATAACGAACATGGTCTACCACAAGTAAAGTCAGAACTAGAACAGAGAACACTCCAAAGTCTGGTTTGGTCATCTGAGATCATTAAAAATGGTTGACCCCTAACAATACATACAAAAAATATTAAATGTAAATAAAAAACACAAATGAATTTTCCTTTTTCAAGTACTTTTAAGAAAAAAACCAGGGCCTTGGAAGTTTTGATTCTTCTTTTTCCCTCCCCTGTTGCAAACTCACGCTGTGGTTTTGGTTGGATGGTGGAGAGCGTGTGTCATCTGTGGGTAAACTTGACATTCTTAACAAAATAATCCGGGGGGCGGGGGGGCAGGGATTCATGGTTGGGGTAAAGATAAAACACGACTAGTTGAAACTGGAGATGGGTTCTGTTATGTTTTCTATTTCTATAGATATTTGAAAATTTTCATAATGCAAAGTTTAAAGGAAGTATTACTATGAAACAAATAGGGGTTTAAATCCCAGAAGAATGACCATTAAGGTTGAAAGTTTTGATCTATGTTTCAAATTTGGGGAAACATTTTGAAAAGCCTCAAAGAAATAAGGACTACTCCTAACCATAAGTGTTGGTTATCTATCTGAAAAACCCTGTGGCTGAAAAATAGGTGGCCGAAGACCTTGAGATCCTAGAGGAGAAACAGTTATAATTAGCCTCTGAATGCCCATGAACATTATTTTACATTCACTAGAAGGAAAAGAGATGGCTCCCTAAGAAGAGTTTTTGAATGCTTCAGAAGGAAAAAGCTCTGGAAAACTTCAGTTTGCTCAACACAGCCGGGCAGGTATTTTCTCACTTCCTTCTCCAATTACACCACCCATGGCAACTTTGTAGTAAAGACTCTATAACAAGCCCTTATCTACTGGATACATAAATTCAGTTCTCAAGACCAGGTTTACTTTTTTTTTTTTTTTAAAAAAAAGAGAGAGAAGGAGACAGAACCCGAAGCAGGGCCTCGGCTCTGAGCTGTCAGCACAGAGCCTGACGCGGGGCTCGAACTCATGAACCACGAGATCATGACCTGAACTGAAGTTGGACGTTCAACCGACTGAGCCACCAGGCGCCCCAAGACCAGGTTTACTTTTATTTAGCATCCTTATCTCTTCTAAGAATTCCCTGTAAGAGATTCTACTTCTATGCTCTTTTCTATCCCCCATCCCTAGTATTCTCTCTTTTTTTCAGCATTAAAAAATTTTTTTAAAGTAATCTCTATGCCCAACATGGGGATCAAACCCATGACCCCAAGTTCAAGAGTCACATGCTCTGCAACTGAGCCAGCCAAGCACCCCTCTAATTATTTCTAGTAAGAGCGACTAGTAGGAGTTATACATGTCCTAGAATTGTAGTCTTTACCACTGGAAAAGGTATACAGAAGTAATCTCTACACACTAGCCTGACAGGGAGGGAAGAATTTCTAAATTTCTTTTTTAAGGTATAGGTACTTACATCTTCAGGTAAAGACTTCACCAGTTCACTATGAGCCATAGGTTTGATGCTTAATTGATGGATAATCTCTCGCTTAATTTCATCTGTAGCGTTTACCTGTCCAACTCCAGGACTAAATCTCTCTCCTGTCAATGCAAAAGTACATATCCACACATTTAACATAACCAGCATACTTAAGCAGTATATACTTATAATTCACGCAACACAATATATTTTTCTTTCTATGCAATGGGAAGGTAGCAACTGGCTTGGCAACAAGCTAGGGTGAGAGCAGCTCCTAACCTCTGAGGCTCAGACACAACAAGTGAGTGCAGGGTTTGGGCAGAGGAGAGAAAACTCTGGTTGCTGTTTTGAAAGAATGGGATCAGAAGGCAGGAAGGAACTGGATGTAGTAGAAAAGTGGTACAGCAGTAGTTGAACCAGTAGCCTCGGAAACTGCTTTTCCCGCCATCTGCCACATGGTAGCAGGGAGGGGAGCCTTCCTTTGTCCTTCTATCTAGTGGCAAATAAGATATCACCTCCTGACAGTAGCCAGGATTCTCTGTTCTATGAACTACAGAGTCTAAAATAGCAGAGGAGGTGGGGAAGGTATAGGATAAAAGAATAGGAAAGATGGAGGTGACAAGACTGAAAATACAGGCAGTAAGAAAAGAAACCTGCATCTATTAGCCACAGGTCTCTATTAATTTATTATTATTATTATTATTATTATTATTATTATTATTATTGTATCTAAAGCCAAGATAACAGTTCTGTGACACAAAACCATGGGAGGAAACATCCCTAAGATATAAAGTAGATATAAAATAGATCCTAAATATCCTATTCTTGCTTGCTATACTCTTCTGTTCCCCTTCTTTCTCCTCAGACAAGGAGTCTTTCAGATTATTCTACTTCAGTAGGTCTACTCTCTTGTTCCAAATTGCCACAGGACCATCACTCTCGGTGCTACAGTAACCAGAGGGGAGAAAGACGTGGATGCTCTAACCTTCCCCCCCAAACTGAAGAACCGCTCAACTAAAAGAAACATAGCTCAGAAATTCTGAACTATTTGCCACCACAAAAGCCAATGTAATTTATAAAGGTCGTAAACAATCCAAACTTACCAACAAGCATTATGATGAGGTATAGCATTTCTTCTATTAGAGTATTATTTTGCTGAACTACATCCTGTAGCAAGTGGGGGGAGAGAAAGTTCAGAGATAAGAATACCAGTACTGTATTATCTCAGGTGATGAACGTACCCCAAAAGAATGGAAGATACTTCTTTAAATGAGGCTTATAAACGGGCTTATAAAACATGCTCTTACCTTATGGGTAATCTCTGAGCTAAATCTCTTCCCATAGTCTGGAGTACTGAAAATCTGATAAAGTTCAAAGCGGCTGAGCATTATCATCAGGAAATGATTCGGATCCATCATAGAGACACCTGTCTTTTTTTTTTTTTTAATGTTTGAGATAAAGGAAAAGACAGAGGTCAAAAGGGTTACTAAATAATTAGTGAAAGATATTTTGGGCTGCATAGGTGAAAACAGCTTAGTCACCAATCCCAATACAAGATGAAAACCCATTTAGCCCAATTCCCTACTTGTGGAAGCTACAAGTGTGGACAAGAATCTAAGTTGGTAAAACAAAATGAAATAGAAACAAAACAACCCTCCTCTAAACCAACACATCAGAGTAACATGAACTATAGGTTCTCTTTCCTTTTAATGCTTTGAATTACTTGCAGCCCCATGAATGCAGTTCTTAAGTTTTATTTCAGCATTCTCCTATCACCATCTAGTATGTGGACTCAGAGAGAAACGTGATATGGCAATTAAGCTTCTAGTACTTTTTATATACGTGATATTAGACTGTTATCAAGAACTGTCAAACTAATTTTTGCTGATAAAAACTATACTAACTGAAGTAACAGCTTTTAAATATTAGTTTAATTCTCCTTTAATTTCATCTGTATAAATTCTAAATCAACTTGGATTTTAATTTATTTTGAACCAATCATTTTTGAAATTTACATTCCATAACTTTTCTATAATTTTTCAATCCACAGCAATAATATGGAAAAACTACTATATGATAAGTATTGTGCTATGCACAACAGACAAACAGGGACCAAGATATAGTTGCCATGATTTAGTGGAGGGGACAAAAAGTAAATAGGCAACCACAATCCAGAGCTATGAAAGCTACGCTGGGGATGAGCACCATGCTATGGGCCTTCCCAAATGGGATACGTAGCCACATTATTGTGTGTCTGCAATGGCTTTCTGGAGAAAGTGACCCTGAACACTAAGACATGCAGGAAAACAAGTCACTAGGTAAATGGAAAAGGAAGGAGGTAGGGTGGGCAAACTAGGGAGCAAAAGAAAGAAATGTGTAGAGTTTAAGACTTAAGACAGAGCATGGCAATTTCAGAGAATTTTAAGAAAGGTAAGTTTCACAAGCCTTGGAAATCAAATCAGTTTAAGGGGGTTGGGGCTTTAATCAGAGGACAATGAAAAAAGGACGGCTTTCAGGTTTCTGACTCTAACAACTATATACACGTTGAACAATACACCAAGGTAGGAAACGCAAGATAGGAGGAAGGTATGGAGGAAATAAGAGTAGTTTGAATATGTTAAATCTGAGATGTGTCCAGGAAATCTAGATGAAAATGTTCTACAGGCTCTTACTCATATGAGTTTGGAGCTCAGTAGACAGGGCTAGGCTAAAGTTACAGATTTGGAAGTAATCCTAAGTGCTGGGTTCTGTAGAAATAACAAGGAAAACAATTCCCTATGAACTGTAAGTTTAATGCTTTTAATTCATTACCTGAAGCATTACTATATCCTTGTCAAACATTTCACGCCTGCATTTCACATTATGGTAGTAATAAATCTAAAAAAAAATAATAATAATTACATTGGGCAAATAGATTTTTATTTGTGCAGGTCCCTCCTCTCCCCAATCCCCAAGAGCACATGGGTTCAATGCAAGTGTGAATGTGTGTGTGTGCACACGCACCAACACACAATGTGGCTTCCTCAACAGTTAATACTATCTTAGCAGAGATTAATTAGAAATTTTCAGATTTCAGTGTTCACTGTATGGTTCACATTTTGCAGCCAACTTTCTGGTTCTCCCAAGAAAGTTACTTCTGTAAGGTTTATAGCTACGAAAAATGGGGGGAAAACCTTATCTATACCAAGACTTGATGAAGTCTAAAACTTAAAACCTCAATTTCAGAGCTAATTACTATAGAGCTTTTTTTGATTGAAGTAGAGTCGACACACAATGTTACATGAGTTTCAGGTGTACAAGACAGTGATCGGACAAGTCTACACGTTACGCTGTGCTCACAAGTATAGGTACCATCTGTCACCATATAACACTATTATAATACCATTGACTCTATTCCCTATGCTGTGCCTCTCATCCTGACTCCAAAATTAGAAACCTATACCTCCCACTCAGCTTCACCCATTTTACCCATCCTCCGACTCCCTCCCCTCTGACAACCATCTAACAGAACTTTTACCACAATTTAAAGGGATGAAATCTGAATTTTTATTATATTACATTTGTTGTTCTAAAAAATGATCTCAAGTTAAATATCAAGAAAATTAAGTTCATTTGTACTTTTGATATTGTTTCTTGACAAAGTATGAATAAAAGTTCCAAGAAACATTTTGGTTTAACCTTACATTTATCTTCTTGAACAATTTTAATATAGATACTCAACTTTCAAAGACTTAAGTATGTTGAAAATTACAACCTTCACAGAAGTCAAAGGAATGGATGGAAACTATTCATAAACTAAAAATACACTTACCTGGTTTACTAAAGAGAACCCATTTCTTCTCCACATTCCTGCATGTACTTGGGCACATAAAACAAGACATCTAAGAGGGTGTTCTATCAACATGGGTGGGCTAAGTTCACTCTGTAAAGACAAAAAATAAAACAAAAAAAAAATACTCAAAAATCTCAACTCTATGAAGAAGACTGGTTGATAGGGATGGAAACTTTATATAAAACAGTAGTTAAAATTACTCAAAGTATGTTTGTGTGACGGTTAATTTTATGTGTCAACTTGGACAGGCCATGGCACCGTTTTTGATTAACACCAGTTAATGTTGCTGTGACGGTATTTTGTAGACGTGATTAATTTTTAAATCAGTAGACTCTGAGTGAAGCAGATTACTTTCCATAATGTGGGTGGACCTCATCCAATTAGTTCAAGGCCTTAAGAGAAAACACAGGATGAAGAAATTCTGCTTCCAGATTGCCTTTGGTCCTCAGACTACATCAACTCTTCCTTGGGTCCTCAGCCTGCCATGCCAGACTGCCAGGCAGGCATATTTCACACTTGTCAGGCCCATAAGTGCATGAGCCAATTCCTTACAATAAATCCATTTTTTTTTCTGTCTCTTTCTCCATACTTACATACCCATGTGCACATGCATGTGGATACACTCTTCCACTCGTTCTGTTTTTCTGGAGAACTCTTGTTTAATAAAGTTTGTTTCAAACTGATTTCAAATACATGGAACATAATACATAGGTATTTACTTTTAAATGTTAGTACTACTTACTAGAGGTAGTAGCTCTGGAAATTTATATGCCACTTCACTTTTGCTTAATAATACATGTAAACCTGCATGGAAGAATAAACAAAAAAAGTATTTCTACAACTGCAAGTCACTTAGAAAAAAGTCCTAAATATTCACTCAACTTTATATCTAACTTCTTTTCTCTTTTTCTTTGGGAACTTATCCCATTACAAATTAAGATAGAAAATGAATTTCATCCATAAATGAAGCTTTTTAATTGATACTCTAACGACCCTCTGGATCAAAGGCACATTTAGAACCACAGTCTTAATTACATGTACTGATATACACGGATGACATTTTATGGAGATAAATGTTAGACATACAAACACACAAAAGCAGTTATAGAACTATTAAAGCAATTTATATATGTTATGCCAACTTGAAGGGTCATGTTTCATTGGGCTATGGATTCTGTTCCCATTTAAAGTATAGTAGGAGAGATCCTTCTAGCAAGTGAACAGGGAAACTGGTTCTGGGATTCATGGTCTGCGTGGATCCTGATCTCAGAATTAAGTTCCCCAGAACTTCCAGTTTAAGATCAAAGCCTCTTAAGTTCCTGACTGCAAAGGGCTCTTATATAGCTCCACCTTAGTTAATTCTGTTACTTAAGAATTAATTATCCTGTTTATGTTGTCTAAACAGGGAATGGTTTTTCTAATCTTATCAGTGGATGTTGGCCATGTGGGTCAAGCCTGGCTTAAGGCTTTTGTCACCCGAGAAGACCTACATTTTGAGTCTCATTCTGACACTCTGACACTCAACCCCCACTAGTACACACTCCAAGTTGTTCTTGAACTATTTTGTATGTGTTTACTTAGCTCTTCAATTAGATTATAAGCATGCAGGCCAAGCTTTATCAACAGTGAGTAGAATGCTCAAAAATGTTCACTGAGAAGGTCTGAGAGTGGTAGACACCTAGGCAGAAATTAGTACATCTGAAGGGTACTATTTTCCTTGTGGGTAACTATCAGCATCAGCCTCCATCATACAACCAGATTTTTAAAGGCAGCAAAGATCAGCAGCTGAGCAGTAAACAGGACCAACGTTCCTGCACTCCAGCTGAATACTCTTCCACAACACCACGCTGTTACCTGCTCATATTGACTATCAACAGGTTCAGGATGCTCAAAGCACTTACAGAAACACAACTGGGCCTGAACAAGTTACAGAAATAAGAGATTTCTTCCCACAATCATAATTTCATACTAAGTGCTTTTTTGTTGTTCCATTTGTTTTTCTGGTTGTTGTTCCATTTGTTGTACTACTGATATCCAGATGGCTAAGTTATCTTAAATCTTCACAACTTCCAGAAGACTATTCTAATGCTAGGCTCTAGCAGGAGGAAGATGGGATAATGGTCAGAACAATGAAAAATTGCCTTCAGAAAACAGGGATTATTAGTCCTGATCCCATGGACATTAAAAGAATAAAGGAATACCAGGAATGGCCCTATGCCCACAAATTTGATAACTTAGATGAAATGTACCAGTTTCTTGAAAAACACAAACTACCAAAACTCATACAAGGAGAAACAGAGAACTAGAATTAACTTACATCCATTAAAGAAATGGAATCAGTAGTTAATAACCTTCCAAAAAAGAAAGTATCAGGTTCTTATGTCTTCACTGACGAACTCTACCAAACGTTTAAGGAAGAAATGGTATCAGTTCTCTACAATTTCTTACACACATACACACACGCACCCCACTTTCACGTCATATTAGGTTACTGAGCCATACACTTAAGACAAATTACAAATGCTGCAATGAGTAAAAATAGCTACCTTTAGAACTTCTTTCTACTCTCTCAGTTAAAAATGGAACTAAAGGGAACAACAGTATGTGAGCAGGATAAGATTTCCTACAATTAAAAAAAAAGAATCCCTGCAATCAAGAAATACAGAAGGAAGCTACACTGAAATGAGTCTGCAGAGATGGACGAATGTATATTCAAAGTTTTTGGTTGCTGCAAGGTGGCAGCCTCAAATATTCTACCAAATATAAATGACTTGTAAATCAACCACTCATGATTAAAAAACTATCCCTAAAAAGGTTATCAATAAATAAGCTTGGAGGGAGAGAAAAAAATTTGGGGGTGGTTTCAGTTTACCAGCAATCACTTAAGTGATACAGCAATTTGAATTTAACAACACAGACCTTAAATCTGGGTTGAGTTAAGCAGTAACAACAGGTGATTAAGTGCAGTGAAGAAGTCTGAAGGGGGTGCACCTGAGTGGCTCAGGTTAAGCATCTAACTCTTGACTTTGGCTCATGTCATCATCTCATGGTTTGTGAGTTGAAGCCTTGCATTGGGCTCCGTGCTGACAGTGCAGAGCCTGCTTGGGATTCTCTCTCCCTCTGCCTCTCTGCCCTTCCCTCATGCATGTTCTCTCTCTCTCTCTCTCTCTCTCTCTCTCTCAAAAAAAAAAAAAGTCTGAAGAAGCGCTATGGTATGGTTGTTATAAAGATGGCTTCTGGTGCCAAACCACCTCACAATCCCCACTCTCTTTCTCGCCGCATAACATTAAGCAAGTCACCTCTGTGTCTCAGTCTTCCCATCCGTGAAGGAAATTCAATAACAATACCTACCTCACAGGCGGATGGTGATTAAGTCAATGCTTAGCAAACTCTCAGTATAATGTGTACTAAGTGCTCAATAAATATTAGTCACAAACAACAATTTAAAAGATGATTTCAGGGTCCTTTTGGGGGGGGGGAGGGGAGAAATGCTTTACCTGCAAGTAAACGAGAAACTGGGAGGTGAATGCTAACTTTTTCTTGGGAAACACAGTATCTGATAGTTTCCACTGAATGTCCACAAATGCTTAACGTGATTGGCTGTTCACCATCAGTGAAACCACCATGACACTGCATCAATACAGCAAGGCATTTCTTGTAAGCTTCAATTAACACTTTTTCCTAAAAAAGAGGGTTTTCTGTAAGTTATTCAAAAGGCTGGGTTTCTACAACATTGAATAAGCACCTCAAATTTGACAAAGAGTCAGTACGTAACACCTCAAATATCAATATAGGCAACACCAAATTCAACTTCCCTCCCCAACTCCCCCTCTTCCAGTGCCCTGTCTCAGTGAATGACATCTCCATACAGCTGTGGAAATCTAGAAGTTATTCCAGTACCCTCCTTTCCCACTGTCCAATCTATTCCCAAACCGGCGATTTCACCTTCTAAATTTCTCTCAAACCTGGCCACTGATCACCTCCAGTAACTCAAAGGAAAGCCAACCATCTATTAAATCTCTCTACTTTTGCCCTCCTCTATCTATTCTCCACACAGAATAACTTTAAAAAACATGTAAACTGGGTTATGTCACTTTTTCTGCTTGGTAGCCGCTAGTGGCATCTCAATTTGTTAGATAAAACCCAAATTTCTTTCCAAGGCCCTGCAAAGTCAGGCACCTGTCCACTTTTCTACCTTCAACCTCTGTGCTCCAACCTGAGCCTTCTCACAGCTTCTGGACCAACCATACTCTTTCTTATCACAGAGCATGATGCAGCTGTCTCTCAGTCAGGAATATGTGTTACTCTTTGACCAGTTAACTCTGACACATAGTTCAGATCTCACAGAAGTCTTCTCTTACCTCTCAACTTACACAGGCTCTCATCTAGACTTTATAGCCAAAGGAAAGCAAAATAATTTTAAGACAGAACAAATGTAACAATTGTAAAGCTTTACTTTTGGATAAATTTCTAAACTCTTTTTATATGCTCAAAATCTAGATGGGATTATGGAAAAAATGAAGATAGTAACATAAGAGAACAGAGAGAGTGGATTATTTCTGCCTCTATTTTCCAATTTTTTTCTGAGGATTCAGAATTTTAACTTTTATGGAATTTATAGGTAAGAGAGGAAAATATGCTGTTTCATGAGTTAAGTATCACTACTATCCTCTCCAGATCTCCTCAGAATTTACTGAGGAATTTATTTCCCCTCCTCCATTTATCGCCTTACCCCCTACCCCTAGAGGAAACTCACGTCTAAAGCACACCAGTCTTGCATCATTGAAATGACATGTGTTAATTTCATTTGTAGTGTGAAGGCTGCCTCCCACTCTGGTTCCATTTCAATATGCTGTCCTACTTGACGTGTAATTGGGTCCATCCCCTTAAAGGAAGCAAAAAGATTTAAAATGGATTAAAATTTTGTTTGTTCTCTTACATGGGCACTTAAGAAATAATATAGAAGAAATATATATTGATTACAAAAACATACAAAGTAGACGTTTTAACAAGAATAAGTAGTGTAAGTCCAACTCTAAATTACATATTTATATAACAGTCTCTAAAATATAAAAATCCCAGTATAAAACAAATTATTTGTGGCAATTTTTTTTTATGTTTTAAACAATAAAATGTATATTTCACTGCAACAATCCTTCAAATTATTTTTAACCCTATCATCTACAGACCAAACTATTAGAAGAAATTGGATAGGCTTTTTTAAATTTTTTTTTTTTTTTCAACGTTTATTTATTTTTGGGACAGAGAGAGACAGAGCATGAACGGGGGAGGGGCAGAGAGAGAGGGAGACACAGAATCGGAAACAGGCTCCAGGCTCTGAGCCATCAGCCCAGAGCCCGACGCGGGGCTCGAACTCACGGACCGCGAGATCGTGACCTGACTGAAGTCGGACGCTTAACCAACTGCGCCACCCAGGCGCCCCAGAATTGGATAGGCTTTTAAAATGTTACTGAATTTATAAATATATTTTACAATATACTGCAACAAAATTTTTATACTTATTCTGAATCTGCAACTAAAATTTCTCAGACACTAAAAGAAAGCAAAACATGGGGTGCCTGAGTGGCTCAGTTGGTTAAGTGTCCAACTTCGGCTCAGTTTTGAGCCCTGCATTGGGCTCTGCGCTGACAGCTCAGAGCCTGGAGCCTACTTTGGATTCTGTGTCTCCCTCTCTCTCTGCCCCTCCCCTGCTTGAGCTCTCTCTCTCTCTCTCTCAAAAATAAATAAACATTAAAAAAAAAAGAAAAAAAGCAAAATGAAAACAAAAGAAAAACAGAAAGTAAAATATTATTTCATACGAATATACATTTTTGAAAGAATCTTAATTAAGAATATAATTTTTTAGGGGCTCCCGGGGGGCTCAGCCAGTTAAGTGTCCAACTTTGGCGCAGGTCATGATCTCGCGCTTCATGAGTTGAAGCTCTGTGTCGGGCTCTGTGCTGACAGATCAAACCTGGAGCTTGCTTCAGATTCTGTGTGTCTCTCTCTCTGCCCCTCCCCAACTTGTGCTCTGTCTCTGTCTCTCAAAAATAAATAAAAACATTAAAAAATAAAAAAAAAAGAATATCATTTTTTAGAACCTAGCCTAACTACTCTTGGTGTGTCAGAACTGATTAAATAACAGAAAATAGAGGATACTAAAGTATTTAAAATGACCAAAGTGGGGGCGCCTGGGTGGCTCAAGTCGGTTGAGCGCCCGACTTCAGCTCAGGTCATGATCTTACACTCCATGAGTTCGAGCCCCACATAGGGCTCTGTGCTGACAGCTCAGAGCCTGGAGCCTGCTTCGGATTCTGTGTCTCCCTCTCTCTCTGCCCCTCCCCTGCTCATACTCTGTCTCTGTCTCAAAAATAAATAAAAACATTTAAAAAATAAATAAAATGACCAAAGTAGATATTGTTTCTACAGATATAAGAAAAAACATAGAAGTATTATAATAAACTAAACATCATGAACCACCACCCAACACAGAAACTAGAATGTTTTCCAAAAATGATCAGTCAATTTTGCTATTTCTTGCTTACGAAAGCTAGATAGCTATTAAAAGAATCATAATGGTGCAGCTCAGATATTTTGGGATATCATCTATCTTCTTGCAGTTAAAACTGGTTAAATACACCAGTTGGCTTCTGTTTCTAGATTCTGTTCTGTATATGGGGGTGTTTCCAAAGAAGAGAATTAAACATAGGGGAATAAGATCTATACTGTATTATACAAATATCACATCAAGGAGAGAAAAAGAAATATGGAAACATTAAAACTAAAAAATCAAACATTATAGTTTCTTAAATAATTAACTTGACAATGCTTCCACGTAAGCCTAATATTAAAAAGATTGTAATTGTAAAATTGTAAAATATTGTAATTGTAAAATTACAATCCCCAAAGAAAGAATGTTAATGGTAACCAAAAGAATAACCAAATACAAAAAAACAACACAGCAGATGCCAGAACTTCTGCTGGGATCTCATTCATTCTACACCTTGCTATGAGTTTCTAATTAAAGAAGAGCTTCTTGGTCCAAATTGTAGTCACCCAAATTATTCTTTTAGAAATGTGTCCCAAATGAAAAGAATATAAAAAGATGTTCAGTTCAATGAACCAAAAAAAAAAAAAAAAAAAAAAAAAAAAAAAAAAAAAAAAAAAAAAGAAAGAAAGAAAAGGAAAGTGTTTCCTTTTATTTTTGAAAAATTTTTTTAGAGATTATTTTGAGAGAGAGAGGCAGAGAGAGAATCCTAAGCAGGCTTCATACTATCAGTGAGGAGCCTGATGTGGGGCTTGAACTCACGAACCATGAGATCATGATCTGAGCCAAAGTCAGACGCTTAATCAACTGAGACACCCAGGTGCCCCCAGTGTTTCCCTTTAAAATGTGTCAGTTTATACATACCTGCATACATTTGAGTAATTCCAAAAAGGCATCAAATCCTTCCAGGAACTTCTGTCTCAGATCATCTGACCATTCAGTTGGTTTGCTAATTAACACATACCTGAACAAGATAAAAATAGCAATGAATATATGGGTAAACAGTGACATTTTATAAATTGCAAGTGGTGGATAATTCAACAAAAGCTTACTTGAGATCTAAAATAAGGCTCTGAACTCTCCTAAACTTGAAGGCTTGTAAAGCAGTATATCGTTCAAACTGAAATCTGCCCTGGGCATCTCGATGTCTCAAATGGTCCATAAAAGTCTTAATGATAATGGTCATTAGGTTTTCCTCTGTGATGAGCATCCGAGCCTAGGACGAAGTATATCAGAGTACATGGTAATCAAAACCCATTTACTAGAAATCTAAAAAAAAGTCACCAACATTGGTTAGCTCTTTGAAGTTTAAACCTTTTTCAGTGCAAACGTATAATATCATAAATGCATTACTGTGTATTTCTAAATAACAATTACTTACTCCAATTGCCATGTGTATGAAGCAACAATTATATCACGGAGAAAGATGCCAGAATGTTAGGAGACATATCCATGGCTCATTATTCAAAGACAACTCGGGGTGAGGGGGTCTGAACCAGGCTGCAAATTTTCCTTAACTGAGACATTTAGATACCTATAATGGTATGGTATAATTATTCTAGGATCCAGAGGTTCATATCACAGATTCTGTAGAACTCAGTATGAAACTATATTTCTTCTTAATCTCCTTTTTAAAATTTATTTTTGTTCTTGTTTCTATGTATATACATATCTATGTATTTTTGAATAAGCAAATACATTTAAATGATACACACACACACACACACACACACACACAGATAAAAGTCTCCTAGCTCCCAAGGTCCCCCTTGCAAAGGCAGTCTCTGTTAGTTTTCCTTGCATATTCTTCTAGAGATGGTGCATGTGTATATATACTACATACATATATGCATATACACACACATATATACATTTATACTATATGGGTTAGATGTTATTAAGTAGATAGAAGTGTGCACATAGTTAATTACATCCATCTCTCCCCCTCAAAAGATAGCATATTATAAACACTGTTCCGCACTTGTTTTTTCACTTCATATATTTTAGAGATTGTCCCATATCAGTTCATATAAATTCCCTCATTCTTTTTTTTGTCTAATTTTTTAATGCTTATTTTTGAGAGAGACAGAGAGACAGCAAGCAGGGGAGGGGCATAAAGAGAGGGAGACACAGAATCTGAAGCAGGCTCCAGGCTCTGAGCTGTCAGCACAGAGCCAACGTGGGGGTGAAACTCACGGACTGTGAGATCATGACCTGAGCCGAATTGGAGGCTTAACTGACCTGAGCCACCCAGGCGATCCCCCCTCATTCCTTATATCTATCATTAGGTATTCTTTTCTATCATACTTTATTTAGCCAGGCAGGCCCTTACCAGTGAGACATGAGACATTAGGGCTTTTTCTAGTCCTATGCTATTTATTACAAAAGATGTTGCAACAAATATCAACTGTGTACCACTGCAAGGATGTATGAATAGTATAATTTCTTAGAAGTGGATTACTGGGTTAAAGTGTATGTACATTATAAATTTTGACTGATACCAACAAATTGTTTCCACAAAGAAGCTCACCAATTTATATGTCCATATACAGTGTGTACATTTCCTCTCATGCGTTCAATAACACAACTTCAAACATTAAAAAAAAATTTTTTATTTTCTTAAAAAAAAAATTTTTGAGAGACACAGAGTGTGAGTGGGGGAGGGGCAGAGAGAGAGGGAGACACAGATCCAAAGCAGGCTCCAGGCTCTGAGCTGTCAGCAGAGAGCCCGATGTGGGGCTCGAACTCATGGAGTGTGAGATCATGACCTGCTGAAGTCGGACACTTAACTGACTGAGCCACCCAGGTGCCCCAGTAAGTAGTTTTAAATAAAAATAAAGGCAGACAGAGAGAGAGAATCCCAAGCAGCCTTCGCGATGTCCATGTAGAGCTGGGTGAGGGGCTCGAACTCCTGAACTGTGAGATCATGACCTAAACTGAGATCGAGTCGGATGCTTCACCGACTGAGCCACCCAGGTGCCCCCAGAAGATCTAGTATTATTTGAATACCTCATTATTATTCTTCCACAATGGATCATACTTTTCTAGACTAACTAGGTTCAAGTTATTATTGGTGCTGGGGGACTATATAACTAGGTCTCTCATTAAGCATTTAACAATGTAGAAAGTTGCACCAAAAAGTAGGACAAAAAAGTACAGAAGACAGAAGTCTAAGAATATAGTAAAGTTGTGTTCTTAATGTAAAGGTTAAGTTCTGAGGTCATCAGATAAAGAGAAAATCTATAAAGTTAAATATTCCTTTGAAAAACTCAAAAGTCATCATCACGTTGCCAAGAGTTAGGGTCTAAGAACCTCAAAAGTCAACAGGATTAACTTCTGTTCAGTTTCCTACACAGTAAAGACAAAAGTCCAGCTTGAAAAAGAGAAGGTACTGATAGGTTAAGATAAAAGGATATTCTTTGTTGGTTTTTTGTTTGCTCTATTAGGGGATTTGGGAAAACTTAAATTTCACTGACTTACAAAAACTCTGTAGAGCTTGCTGGTAAGACTTATAACCAAAAATTGATGGAAGTTTGGTAGAGACAATTTAATATTCATGGAGTGTGTATCTCACCAACAAAGGCATTTATTTAGCATTTTCAGTTTCAGATGAATGTTAAAAAGAGTTTATCCAGTGCATAATTTTGGATTGGATTCTAACTGTCGTGGGTGCCAAATTAAAAAAAAATCAATTAAGGCAGCTAGCCCATTAGTACTGTCCCATTAAAATAGGGGAGTTATGGGGCACCTGGGTGGCTCAGTTGGTTAAGTGTCCGACTTTGGCTCAGGTCATGATCTTGTGGTTCATGAGTTTGAACCCCGTGTTGGCTCTGTGCTGACAGCTCGGAGCCTGGAGCCTGCTTTGGATTCTGTGTCTCCCTCTCTCTCTCTCTGTGCCTCCCCTGCTTGTGCTGTCTCTTGCTGTCTCTCAAAAATAAATAAATGTTAAAAGAAAAATTTAAAAAATGAAACAAAATGGGAGTTACTCAGGCATTGCTATTTCTAAAAAGAAAACTTAAGAAAGCATATTTTCCAAGGTTCCAACAGAAAAGAAGGACAAAAAAGTTGGTGCTTGGCTTTATCACCTCATGCCTAGATTGTTGCTAACCTTTCAAGGTAATCTTTAACATTAAAAATCTAACATTATTATACAGTTCCAGTACTTCTTACCACTCACCCTAAAACACTGCTTGATTTTTATATGCCTACAATTCACTTTGCTTTAAAATATATTACTGCTACTTACCTTAACTACAGTTTTATTCATTTTATGTAATTTATATTCAATTTTGTGTTGTAAGGCTCATTACATATCTAACAGCATATTCAAAATGGGCCAACATTCCCCCTAAGACTCTGAAAAACTTTACTGAATAATAATGGCCCGTGCACACACTTTTAATTAAACTAAATATGATGAGCATACAGGGGTAATGCTGACTATAAATCAGGGTACATTTGATCAAAACAAGTTAGAACAAGTAAGATAGTCTTGTCACTTGAATTAGTACTGGCTCTTGACCAAACTATTTAAAAATGAAGACTGAATTTTCAGTTAACCCAAAAGACCAATAAATGGGATTCTATCACTCATATGAAACATTTCACTAATATCTAGGGCAAGTGTTTTTTAAGCAGGGATATGCATATGAATTACTAATGGTGCTTTTTCAAGAAACTATTACATGCATTCTTCCAGTCATGATGGGATAAGCTTGAGGCGGACCAACACTTCCACCAAGAACAACCAGAAAAGATCAACTAGAAAAAAAAAGTCTGAAATCATTAGAGACCCCCTGAGGCCACAAGGGTTCAAGGGGATAGAACCTTCGAGAAGGGGAGCAGCACAGGGAGGTGAGCCAACATCCTGAAGCTGCTTTTCCCTCAGCATCTCCCTCTTCTGGGAGTGTGGCAAAATGGGACTGAAGATCCCAGGAAAGAGTCTGCCAGAGCTGCTAATAATGGGGAGAAGACCCTGAGATTTTAGCTGTTCCATGGTGTGAGGAGCCCAGGATTCTAGCAAGAACACAAGGGTGGGAATGGAGTCCAACTTTCTTCCGGTTTTCCCCTTAAGACATTTGCAAAATTCTGAAGCTGTGCAGGACAGAAGTCTAAGAGCAGAAAGTCTAGAAGGGCAAAGGAGTGATGTGGCAGCCTCAGCAAGCTGAGGAAACAAAACTTGAGTTCAGGAGCCTAGAGAGGGGAGGAACTCCAGTGAGCACTCCAGGCTCTAAAGTGGGAGCCCTCCCAGGGCAACGTTGCGGGATGAGGATGGACCGGAAGACAGAGTCTTGCCAAAACAACCTGGAGTCACGGCAATCCCGCAGTAGACTGATCGGCCTCACTCTATCTGCCTCACAGTAAGGGGACTATTCTTGGGAGGAAGATATTACACAGAGTCTTAAGATTTTCTAATGAAAACCATCCTGTCGGAAGGCAATGAGAAAGAGAATGGGGCAGAAACCATATGTGAATGACTACAAAATTTCCCAAACCGAGAAAGCCACCAGCCTAAGAGATGCAGTATCTACAAACTCCAATATCTATAAATATAAAGAAAACCAAACCTACATAAATCATAGCAAGACTGCTGAAACCTAAGACAAAATGCCAATAAAAAGTTATTAAGCATTCCAAATGACTAAAAAAACCAAAAGGGGTAAAATATTACAAAAAAATTAAATCGGAATAGAATACAAATGATCTAGATAATGACATTATAAGACCATGACACAGCTAAGATTTACATGTTCAGAAAATTGAGGAAAAAATGGAGGATTTTACCAGAAAACTGGAATCTTAAAAAAAAAAAAAAAAGTGGATTTTTGCTTCAGGAATCAGGCAAGAGAGAGTAGATGTACTTTTCTCTAGTCCTCCCACTAAGTACACCATGTCCAAAATTCTGGACATCATATGCAAAAGACCACCACAAGATTCAGAATGGTGGCCAGAAGAAGGCAGACTGGCTAGGGACCTCAGAGACCCCAAGAAAAGACACGACAGAGAGATCTAAGAAGCTGGCAACCTGAAAATGCCAATGGGCACAGGCTTTTTTAAAAAGCCCCAATAAAAGCCTGCTCTGTCAGCCACAGGAAAGAAGTAACTCAGCAGGACAGAAAACTTTCCGACAATAACCCCTCCACTCTAGCCAACCACTACGGAAAAAACTGTAGCTCTATCCCCATCTATACCAACAAAGGCTGAATGGTGAAGTCC